TTTGTGCTTGCCGTTAATTAATTAATTAGAAACTACGAGAATGCGTGTTTTTCGAAAAAAAGTCACTTGGGGTAATTATGGTCACTCAGCTATTTTTCATGGGGTAATTATGGTCAGTCCGTGTAATCTGCACGTGTAAGCGAAAATATGTAAGCTTTTATCGGTATAAGATAACGTAAAATATTCTATTCTATTTAAATATTTTTTTTGATTTAAAAATTGATAATCGCTTCTTAATTACACGTTTCATCTATACAAGTTTGAAAATTCATGACAAGTTTTTGTTAACAATAAATAATTTAGCAGTTAGAAACAGTTTACATGTGATATAATTCAACACATTTCGATAAACTAGTTCTATCTGTGCCCTTGGTGATTTGAAGACATGCCTTATTTTACCTGAAATAAATTAAATGGGTACGATAACAGCCAGTTTCGGCGGAAAAGGCTACCGAAACCAGCAACGATATTAATAAATTTGCAATTATTAATCAAGCCAACGAGTCCGATAATTGAATAGCAGCTTTCACATTTTCAAGGAAATCACCATATGAGAAAATGGAAACGACAGTTAGCCTTTTGAGTTCTCACCTCCTATATATCAATTGTTTTATCCATACTTGTCTAAACACGAGAAAAGTTCATCTATGAAGATGATTGTAAATGTTAGTTTCTCAATTGATTATATTTACATAAGTTCAATGACAACCGTATTTTGTAAATAAATACTCAATAATTTTTTATATTTTTCTGTGATTGAAACATATATCAGTTGAAGAATTTGTTAATGAAAACAAATTAAATTTGATAAATGAAATTAGTCTATTTATTTTTAATGTCTTTTTATATTACTTTTCAAAGCAGAATAAACAGATGTAAAAAAACCTGTAGTATGAAGAAAAAACACTTTCGTATAACAAAAGACATAGCAATGTGAATGACAGAGAAATTAACTAAAGTTTAGAAAACCCTTTAGTAGTGGCAGCACAGACGACGTATTTCTTAACCGCAAAAATACAAAAAATGGACAGACAGACACATTTTGTATTTGTGTAACATCATCATCATAAATTGATCCATAAAACAAAAAAGTAGTGGAAAATAGTGCCTGCGTATTCTAACAACAGAGTAAGAAAACAAAACCGATCTCCAAGAGAGAACACAACAAAATACAAATCAATTACCGTAGCACAGACCAAAATATAACTTGACGAGAATAGATATATATATACACACGCTTTTTCTTTCTAAATACATGAAATAAAGGGAAGAGAAAAACCAAAGAAATAGTTTTTTAAAAAGAGAAAAAAAATTGTTATCGTCGTCTTCTTTTTTATGTCGTAAAACTCGAGCAAGCATTAAAAACTTAAACAGATTTCACTTCTAAGGGTAATAATTAAAAAGAACATGTAACTATTTCAACTCTGTGGTGCCCAACCTAGAGAAGACAAAAGCAAATAACATTAAATCGGACGAAGAAAATTCAGTTATTTCGTCTCACCTGAATTTGTGGCTGTTGGTTTTGGATATTGCGGTAGTTGATTTGGATAAGATGATTGCGACATGTTCCATGGCGTTGCACCGTTATTTGAACTATCAAAGTACAAAGACTGTTAACTTTGATGGTACTTTATTTTTTTTTAGAAAAACTCAATGTCATTAAACTATATAAAATGAACTTTCCATACGAAACAAACTTCAAATGTATCACTTATTATCTTTCGATGTGCTACATAACTAATGTTTCAAAATCGGTCATGAAAGATCTTCCGACATGACCGAACAGAAACAGAGAATGGATTTTTTCAGAGCGAGTTTGATCTTTACGTACTTCGGAATACATTCCCAAAAAGATGTGGATGGTCGTATATTTGATGTTGTCGACTGCATATTCCAAGATGGTTGCTGATTTTGCATATACTGTTGCGTATAATTAGGTGAGTAGCCATATTGTCCCTGATTAAGAGAATTTGACACTGAAAGCACGAATAACAGACGTTCTACACTAGATATTATTTATTTATTTTCAAACGTACTCATTGAATCATTCGATGAAGATTGATAAAGATTCTGAGACATATGCTGCATTTGAGAATTCATCGATGGCAGCTGAAAAAAATGAAAAAAAACTTCGATAAATATACGAACAGTAGTAACAGACTGTTGCGTTTTTAATAGAACTTCTCTTACCGAGAAATCCTGGCTGTTGTTTCCAGCGGGACCCATAGAACCATCATCACGTCCCCAGCCTAAATAAATATCAAATAAGATCGAAATTAGTTTTTATAAACATTAAAATTGAACGTTTTTCTACCGCATTTAGCTGTATAACCATTAATATCCATCCCATGAACATTGCAAATAGCTTGACACGCTGAATCTTTTGAAAAAAATCTTAATTTCAAAAAATATATTAATTAATTAGACAAATATTCCAGACAGTAAGATAATTACATACTTTACGAATGCATATCCTTTTTCTTTAAATACGCGAATCTCTTGAATTTGGCCATACGAATGAAAAATATTACGTACAAGTTCCTCTAGATAAAAAAGCAATGGCAACTCAATATGTTTATTCAATCTGATAACAAGTTCCTCTTTACCGTTTACATCATTAATGCCTCCAAAATAAACAGTACTATTTGCTTCACCTGTTCTTTGCCACACCTCATTATAATCGAGTTTTTGAGAATATTCATTATTGTATGACTGATTTGGAGCTTCTAAATGAGAAAATTTACCTTTTAGAATATCGAAGTAGCAGGATATTTAATTAGATCTAAAACATGAGTTATTAAAAGTGCGATTATTTTTATTCACCTATCAAAATTTGTATTATTACATTTTCGAAAGTCCTCTTGACAAAATCAAAACTTAAAATATCTCATCTAAAATACGTATAACTCAGTATAGCTTGACATCAAAATACATATTTCACTCAGAATATTGCGATTTGACCTGCCTCATCAGATCACTAGTATTAAAGCGCCACTTTTTTCAGAATTGTTTATTGAGTCAATTACATTTAACTTTCGAAAGCAATCATGATCATTTTTTCTTGTCTGTCTAACAAATCAGTCTTGATTTACATTTCTAGTTGTATGTATTTTCCTAAATTTTCTTTTTACCTCTATATCGTTGTCCATCATGACCAGCTTGCGCTTTTCTTGTTGCCCAATTTGTTCGAATTTTTCTTGTACCAAGCCATTGTCCATTCATACTTGCAATGGCTGTTTCCGCATCCTTCAAACAAAAAAAGAGATAAATGCAGTTTTTTAAAAATTATTATTATAGCCTAACTATGCCTTAAAAAACAGAGTAATGCTTGAATTGTAGGACAGCAAAAAAAAATGTTTAAAAGAAAATAGAAAATACAACCGCGTCCTTTTCTTTTCGTTTTTTCACCAACAGCCAATCATTTTTACTATCACTCGTCTTTCATGTCCCTTTCCGATCTGCTAAAAACTTACGTTTTTGTTTGTAAATGCAATAAAACAATACCCTATAACAAAAATCAATCCGAAACGTAAAACTATCGTTTTTAGACCTAAAAATTCTAAATGTTACCTTTCGGTTTACCAGTATCGGAAAAACGCGCGATTTTGATTTCTCTAGAATCAAACAAGTGTTATGTAGTGCCATACAGTTATGAACAAAATTACGAGATATCGCCAAATGGACTGAAGGCATCTCGAAGAGTGTTTTGATCGATTTCCGGTGCTAAATCGCCCACAAATATATGAAAATGTTCTAAAAAATAATACGTTCGTTTATTGATGAGGACGGCAGATGATGCTAGTTTCTTGTTAACGTAAGAAATAAGAAGTAGTCACTAATTGGAGCCAAGAGAAAATGGGAGAAAAACGATGATGTTATAAATGAACTCGTACAACAATAGAAGAGTCAACTAATTAACATGAAAAGCAACTGATTCCAAAGTATATTTTAGCGAAAGTGGAAAACTTTCCTTTCATAAACCTTTTTATCTAGTATAAAACAGAATAGTGGAAGCAAGAATTCTCTTCTACTTGCGACAAGACCGAAGAACTGTAACTTTTCTTTGGAAATAATATCAACAATAGAAAAAAGTATTTACTGCTTGTATCAACTTTGCTTTGGTGTCCAGATGTCGTTGCCCAATTCACTTTCATTTCCTAATAAAGCACAACGTGTTAAAAGAGTTTTCCTCTGAACATCTACAACTGTTCACATACTTTTCCCATACATAATCGTTTGTTCATCGCCAGCAGAGCATGAGCTGCTGTTTGATGCTCATTAAATTCTATAAACGCATAGGGATCATTTCCCGGCTTTTAAAAGAAAATACAAATTCCGATAATTAGTTTATTTTTACCTGAGAGAAACGCATGGTTTAATAGACTTCTTACCTCATGAATAATCTTACATCCTTTACATGGCCCAATTTGTGTGAATAATGCTAATAATAAATCTTCTGTTACTGTGTTTTCCAAGTTTCCAACATACCTGAAAATATTTATTTGTAATTGCAGTTAAATAACAGTAACAATGAATAGTTATTATTAGTACTTACAATGTACGGGAAGTGTTTTCGTCGAACGTCGAAGTCATGATCTAGTTTTTCACGACCTGAAAAGAGTAATCATAACTCATATGACAATTTATCAGATAGAGTCAGAATCGAAAAAATAACATAAAGAATACGTTATATTACTCTCACAGTATCGGGTCATACCAAAACTACTTCAACGGAGTTAGTTATTCACGGCTATTTACAAACAGAAAATAAAATAGATATATATAAAATAGGTAGGTGTTTAGGCGTTTTTCTCAAATGAACGATTTCCAATTTTTCCGACATTTTTTCTTTCCAAGTTTAACCTTACTTTGCCATTAAGATCTTATCTTGTCGCGTTTTCGACTACGGCACGTATTTCAGAGAAAAGACAGTTTTTATATTATTAGAATGAAGAAAGTACACCATAGCTATTAAATATTCTAAACAAAATTATTTTCGGTTTAACAGCAGTAAAAAGCAAAACGAGAGGTCGGTATTGTACTGCATTGTCTTCTGCCCTTGAATATTCTCTTATTCGTAAGTAAGGCTCTGATGCATAGCACTCTTTTACATTTATTAAGAGACAAATTAAGGAAGCCAGTTTTGCTTTTTTCCTGTTTGTATCCACGGAATAATTTATTTTGGTTTTTGAAAAGGTAGAGGTGGGGTGAAGGTAACTTGCGATTACCATAACAAACTTCAACACGGCAGTAGGATAATTCTTTTGAAAGTGTTATATACCAGAGTTTACATCGACTTTGTCCAGTTCAAGAGTAACAGGGCTAGTACAACTCGGGCTCCTGATGAGGCATATCACGTTTAAAAATTTTAAAACAACGGTATGGTGGGCTTCTAGACCTGTAGAAATCCCATTTCCCAGCAGAATAGTCTTTTTGTAGGCATTTTCACCGTTTTTTAGTGAAACACTTTCATAAGTTGGTACTGTCAGATTGACTTCTATATGTGCAGAGCTACAAAATCACCATCGAACAAAAAGTTCCAAAATGTTAAGCACGTTCTCAGGAAAATGTCTAAAAAGGTGTTTTTTTCGGAAAAGCAGCGCTTTTTGTA